CAATTTCAGCTTCCTCAGAAGAAAATTAAAATTGCTGAGACTTTTTCATAAGCATTGTGCCATGTCCTTTTTCTGTTTCCTTGCCTGTTCATTTATGTCCAACCAGGTGCCACATCTATGTAATCAGGTTAGAATCCTGCCTCCAATAACACATGAAGAGGACCTTTGGTTGTACTTTTGGTCTTTGCTCCAAAATATAAAGATTACAAAAGTCATCACCTCATTCTTACGTCGAGAGGCGTCTGCACAATCTGATCTTCAATACCTTTGGGAATTCATCAAAGGAATGAAATTCTAATCAAAAATTTTCCACTCCCAAAACTGGAAAGACAGGCATGTCCAGAATGGCAGTTGGCACTTGCTTTACTGGAACAGAAGCCACAGAAGAATATACACACACACACACACACACACACACACAAACACACAAACACACACATATCTGTACATATATACATACATACATATATGTACATAAATACATATATACACATACATATACATATATACATGCATATACATACATATATATATAAAAACAAGCTGTTGAGGGCACTTACACGTTAAGCACTACAGACGTCTGAAAGACAGATGTGGACTATGGTGAAGTGACAGTTCCAGAGGGCCGTACGCGCCTCAGTCTTCTGGACTCTCCCTCCAGAAACCTCCAGATTCAAAAACATACAATCCAAATATGTTTCCTGTGGATCAGAAGTGGGGAAGTTATAATTACTGAAAACTGTACCAAGAGCCTTCTCCAAAAGATCCTACAGGGAAGAACTTTTCCAGCACCTTGTCCTATGTGAAGAAAGACAAATCTGCCATTCCAGATCCCTCCCCCATTCTTCCATGATTGTATGAAGATGTAAGTAAATAGTGCATAGACAGGTAAGATGTAAGCAATTAGTCCAGGTAAGATGTAAGCAAATCCAGGCAAATAGTCCAGGGAAGATGTAAGCAAATAGTCCAGGGACACTGAAACCACAAAAGGCAGTAAAGATTAAAGTTGAGCTTTTCCTGTGGAGACGCCTGGTCAAGGTCACAGCCACTGCAGAAACCTCATTGCAAGGAAAGGCTGGGCTGGAGGGGGCACTCAGGAGCCACCAAGCACAGGTTCCAACCCCAGAGCAGGTGTACAGAAGGATGGGGAGGAAGTTTCCTCTCAGGTGTCTTCCTTTGTCAACAACAACAACAACAA